AAAAAAAGGAACGTAACAAAACAACGAACGCGTCGGCAGGAAGCCTTCGTCTGCGAACAAAACAACAGAAGAAAAACGGTATAAAAATAAAAAAAAAAATAGCACTAAGCTTTTGTTCTTACGGAATGGAAAAGCCAAAGAGAGGGCGAGATAGAGAGAGAGAGAGAGAGAGGGAGGGAGGGGAGGGAAGGATATCAAGTAATGTAGGGAGGGGAAGAGAGAGAGAGAGATGGGGGAGAACGAGTGAGAGAGACTGAGGGATGGAGAGAGAGATGGGGGAATAGTGAGAGAGAGAGATTGAGAGAGGAGGAAGATACGGAAAGACAAAGATAAGGACTTGCCCTAATTAGTTAAAGTCACACCACTGTTTTGTTTTTTTTTTAAATCAGGATGCAATCCTTTCCGAACACTGTCATGCGGTGACAAAGCTAGTCAATTGTTTAAGTTGACAACCCGCCAGGGTCTTTGTTACGCGACCGTGGATTTAACTTAACCTTCCTCATCAACCTATTAACATTTTTTTGAGCTTGCGCTGTCGTACAAATCCGCCCCCCCCCCAACTCTTCCACACACTTTTTTTCAATTGAGACCTTATAGTAAGTACCCAAAATCTTGATCATCCCCTAGTTCCAGCTCGAGGTAAGTCGGTCCAGTAGTAGAAACCAGGCTAAAGGCAAAATGATACAAAATTGGATAAGTATCCAGGCGAATATCCATAAGCTGATAAGTCCCGTTCCAACAGCAACGAATTCAGATCGATGTATGGAAGGTGACATAGCTTGTACATATATACATCCAATTTGTGGATTTAATATAAGTCTTTTCATTGTCGGCGGGAGCATATGTTGCATCGCGACAATGTTAGACCACTCAAACATTTTAATTAATGAAATATGGGACATGGTATCAATAACAATCATTATATCTACAGGTACATAATATACATATTGTCTTCTCGTTAAAAGAGACATGGGCGAGTTGGAACAACAACCTACCATCCCCATGATGGGATGGCGGCATGTCGAAGCCCACAGCAAAAACAATAATAGAATTCATAATATCAATATAAAGTAATAGAGGCATTATTGGAATAGGATCAAACACGATCGAATAATTGCGACATAGCGAATGAACAATACGAGTGCAATACCAAAATCATGGTTGCGTACTTACTAGTACTCTAGGTAGCAGTTGAAGTTAAGTATCACGCAAGTGAAGTGCTAATCGGACTGAGGTGACCATCCTTTTTCAGGCTTTGGCGTGAGTTCTCTGTCTAGACAATGCGATTCCAGCAAGGGACGATACTCCGCCTTGCTGTCTACAGGGCAAAAATGAGGGGGGGAATGGTATTATTTCCTCAAGGTTGTTCGGTGGGATGGTTGTCCGCAAATAGCATGTTCGGGGGGGGGGGTGAGCGAACTGGTGCAGGAATGTGATACTCACTCGTGCTGAGCGACTTCGGGGCAACTTGAGGGGTGGGAAAGGAGTTATTATACAAGGGTTTCCAAGGGCGGCTTTACGATATAAGAAATTTTACAAAGTCCAGCCTCAGATCGTCACAGGATCCCTGTTGGATCGTGTCTGATCAATGTGTTTTTAGAGGAGATTTTTTTTTTTTTTCTATTTTTTCATGGTTATGTATTTTTAACGGCCCTTTTATTTCGAAGTTGTTTTTCTGTGGGTGTGTTTTTTTTTTTTTTTTCCTTTTGCCATCCCTGGTCACGCCGGGTATTTTTGCTATTTTTTTTTTTTTTTAAAAAAGATTCGCCCTTTTT